GAAAAACAGTCAATCTAGCTCCAAAAAAGTCTTGACACTCGGAGTGTTCACTTTCCCATTCGATTTTTACACTTAGTTGGTCTTATATATCTACCTAAGCACCATAGAAAGCATAATGCGCCGATTTTTCGTAAATTTAAGATGTATTGAGTTAAATTTAGTCGGCAAATCAGCTGTAATTCACTTTCCTTGAGACTGTGTTTTGGTTTGTGGTTCCTGATCAGTCAGCGGAGTTAAAATAAATTATTTCTTGCTTTATATGTTATTCTTGGTTACTTTTTTCACTATGAAGTGTACTGGTCTCATTTTCCTTTTTTTTTTTTTTTTGGAATGGATTGTGTGTTCAATAATTTTCCATAACTTCCCAGCTCCTCAAGATCTTAAAAATAGGAATTTTATTGTACATGTGCATTCTTATTATAAATAGAGTACGAGAGAAACAACTAAAAAGTAAAAATTTGCACGGCTGGAATATGAAAACAATAGGTTCGGCGAGGATCGAACCCGGACCATGACGATGGGTGCGGAGTATGCTATAGGCTATCGGAATCAACGAGTAAACAGACAGAAATAGCCGTAATATAAAAGTGCCTTGGGAGAGTTGCGCATGCACTCTCCCTACGTTGCTCAGCAATTCAATGCTAGGTTGTTGGGCAAAACGACAGTTAAAATCAATCTGAACACATGTTTCGACTAAGTTTTGATTAAATACCTCTGAGAGGCTGGAAGTGCCTGGTTTCAACCAAGGATTTTTGTGCTCTTGATAGTATAACGAGTAAGTGGACATAAATATATCCTTGAATATTCTCGGATATTGTAAGATGCAGTCTATAGAAGTTTGAATTTCTGACTATTTCGGAGGCTAACTTTCAAAAATTGCTGTAAGTCATAGCAGTAAGTAAACAAGAAAAAATTGGTATCCTTACTTTCAGGTGAGCAAGCCATTGTTGAAAAAAAAATCAAAAGTTACTACATGACACACTTAGGCAAATACAGGAGGCTACTGAATGGAACCACTCTGAGGCGGTCCTCAAGGAGCACCTCGCTAACCGGTGCGTTTCTTATTATTATCGCAGATAAGATCAACCTTATGAAGTAGAGCATGGCTGATTCTTGATCAGCAGATCCTAAGGAACACATACATACCAATTTTGGCCATTTTCACTGATGCAGATGCTGATTTTCCGAATTTTATGGCGCTAGATCGGCTGTTTTTCCTACTGTACGGGGTATGCTGCTGACAGATAGATCTCAGCCACACTCCGCAGGTGGCTGAACCCAACGTTTTTGGTTGTCAAATTTTTGTGCATCGTGTTGTTAAAGAGTAAATCAGTCAATCTCTGGGGACTGGAATGAATAAATGGGAAATGAAAATGTACTTTCTGATACTTTGATAACTAGATATTTTTAAAATCCACTTTCCAGGAAATTAATGTTGTAATATGACGATTGAATGTAGATGCACAGTGAGCAGAAACCACACTAACTATTATTCATACATATCATAATTTTATAATTTTTTTAGCAGCAACCCTCTCAATTAAAACAGTCAATGGAGTTGATTTCTCTTTAGCCGAACGTCAAGGAACATCTTTAAATAAATCCAGAGAATTTCCCATCGATTAAAGCCAAGAAAAACAAAGCCAATTTCTTTGTACCATCGTACCACAAAAAACTGATAAGTTTGTATCGACTTTTTACGTTATTTTTTTCGCCTATATCTTGCATTTTCTCAGTATTAATGTTGAAGGGCGGAGAAAATTTACTTTAATATTAATGAAATTTACTTGTCGTCCATTTTGTGGGATATCATTGCATTTTGGGCGACGAATGTTCATATTTTTAACTTGGCGGTTCAGCTTTACACGGAAATGTTTTTGGTGGGATATGAAATCTACACATTTATATATTTCAACTTTCGGCTGTTATAGATATTGAAATCTTCATCTGATAATCAATTTTGAGATTTTGGACTTTTCCTTATTATTAATCATCCCTGATACAAGGAGGGTCATTCCATGCCTAGGCAGTCCAGGGGGTATTTGTTTTTTCCTTCAAATGACCTTACAATATTTATTTATGGACTCCATAATACTTCTAGTTTTCGAAAATATATGGGGTTTACCCCAAGTTTGCTTTTTTCTAGCAATTTTTAAGTGTTTTGTAACCCCTTCGCTTAGCCTCATTCTACTGTTAAAAGAGTGACAATTTGGCAGTACTGTTTTCTGATATTACCACCAAAACCAAGTTAAACTTTATGTTTACATCTGTTAAGAAACAGATAACATGTGCTCCAGCAAAGTTTCAACTTTTAAAAATCGTTATTGTTTATTATATGTAACTTTTAAAACTTAATTACTGACGGTCACAACCGTAACACAAAACAGGGGATTTTCATTGTATCTATTGTAATTCATGTCATTTTGAGATGAAAATTTTTTCCCTATATCTTTAAGAGGAGTACAACTTCAGAGTATTTTTTCTAAGTTTTTATCGCAACAATTAATGAGTAAAAATGTGTTACAGGTGTGCCACATTACAGGTGTGACCGATGAGAAGAGGCTTCAATTATGCAGATACCGCCTCCTTTCTCACCATTTTTTCTATGCTAATCACAAAACATCCACTCACAAGCATAGTTGGCGGTTATGTTAACATCTAATGAGAAAGAGATGGCCAACGTTTCTGCCATATTTAGTATTCAAAGTGAATACACCTCATCTCAAAATGACTTCAAATAGGACTCGTTACACTTTCTCCAATTTGATTGAAATATTTTCACTTTATTATAGATAGGAACTTGAGCTACATCTCCTCATAAGAAATGCAGTTTCTTTATTTAAGAAGACTCAAAATTATCTAGAAGTCATACTGACACCGAATGTGACTTGCGTCTTACCTGTAATGAAAATAAATGGTGTTCTAAAAGAAAAGAGCATTAAATTGAAACATATTGTAAGAAGTTGAGGCAAATATCCTTGAGCTAGGCATAGGTACCTACTATTGACCACAATAAACAAAAATAAAATAAAATGATCTACCCAAGACACTAAATTCCTGATAATTTCTATACTAGAGGATAACACATACAGGGTGGCCCAGACCTGCCATACTAAGGCATTTTTTCGGTTAATTTAGGTCGCACATATTCCAGGACCTCGGTATCGAATGGGGAATCAACCCTAAGGAATCCGAATTTCTAGGTCCAGGAGTACCCTGAGCTCCCCTTGGGAGCGGGTAAAAAGGGGTCTGTGGGTACTTCAAAAGTCAAGGTAAAGGTCTGAATTTTGAAATTATTTCATCGGAATCAGACAGTACGGAATTTTTTAACTCACATCAACACCAAGAAATCCAAAATACTGACCCCCAAAGGTGGGGGACGGACCCCCCTTTCAAAATATGCAAGTTTGCAAAAATAACATAGAGACTCGGAAAAAAGAAGCTTTCATGGGTAATGGACCCCAAAGAATCTGAAATTGAGGGTTCCGTTGTCCAGGAAGTCTTCTCTGATGTCGCTCAGGGGGACCCTGAATTTGTTAATTTGACCAGTAGGGGGGGGTGGGGTCCCCTGAGCCCCATCAGAGAAGATTCTTGGTCAAACAGGACCCCCAAATTCGGATTCCTTGGGTTCTATTCACCCAGCAACTTCTTTTGTCCGAATCTCTACGTCAATTTTGCGAACTTGCATTTTTTTAAAGGGGGTTCTGTCCCCCTCCTTTAAGGGTCAGTATTTTGGAGAATGATGGGGCGATTTTGGATTTTTTTGTGTCGATGTGAGTTAAAAAATTCCGTACTCTCTGATTCCGATTAAATAATTTCAAAATTTTGGCCTTTACCTTGACTTTTGAAGTACGGACCCCCTTTTACCCACCCTCAAGGGGGGGGGGGGGGATTCTGGGACCAGGAAATTCGGATTCCTCATGGTCGAGTCCCTGTTTGATCCCTCGGTCTTGGACTGCGTGCGAACTAAATTAACCGAAAACAACCCTGGTACGGTAGGTCTGGGCCACCCTGCAGAAAAATGTAGTTTTGATATGTTCTACATTAAAATGCGTCTAATTGCTGATTGGTTTAATACTTAGTATTGTCTAAGATTATGAGGAGAGAAGTAAGTATTTGAACTTTTAAACTCTCTCAGAATTGATGGACCTCAGAGAGACAATTTGTCACACCTGTAATGTCACACCCGTAACGCGAACTTTCCCATTTTTCAAGGAGAGAAGAAAAGATAATTGAAAACGGATCATCAGCAGTTGAAGCAAAAACCCTTGGCTTCATTCATTATATAATTTAATCAGATTTTTACATTCATAAAATTCGCTGAGTTTCTACTTAACACTCACTGAGGCAAAACTCACTTCCAAAAACAGTCACACCTGCAACGCAGCCTTTGATTTTTTCTGAGGGATGGAACAAAGTAAAAACAATATCTGATAAACTGTAATGATCTATAAAAAAAGTTCTTTCTGCTACTACTGCAGATAATTTCTTGATTAAACCCCAAGAAACTGTCCAAATTTTTGTTTAAATTTAAATTGTTGTCACACTCGTAACAATGGAATGACCCAGGAGCGAAAGATTAACATCTTTACTTACAATTTACTTATACCTTTCGTTGAATGAATTATTTATTTTGATTTTTGAATAATCACTGCGCAGGTAAAAATCGATCACAAGTAAAAATGATACGGTCATAAAAACTGATCTTGAAAACGAGAATGCCATGGAAAAAGGTCTTGGATTTGAGAAAACCAGGTTACGTCAGCTTGACAAAGATGTAATCTTGAGAAATAGTAGCTAATGGGAAGTAAAAAGGTAAAATAGAGAACAGTTTGTCACTTTGAAACTTTTGAGGACAAAAGCAGTTTTCAAAATAGGAGGGCCGATTTGAAAAAAGGGAACTTCCTTCATCTCTGAAAGACAGAAGCCTGCATACTTCCAGTTTCCCAGTTTTGACAAAACCTCAAAATGATAGAAGTTCACATAACAAAAAAACTTACCTTTCATCAACTAGAAGCTTCGTTAAATGCTCAACGGTTCTAGAATTGAACAATACTGTACCATGCCCATTTGCTTCAAAATAAACACCAATATCAAATTCTTTAGCTTTATGATGCAAATGTTTGACTCCAGTCAGTGTCCATGCAACAGGAATATTCTATTAAAGAAAAAAAATTAACACTGAAAAAAACACTAGCTGTAATCATTTAGATTCTATATCAATAGATCTACATTATTTTTCCGCTGCTTGCGTTACTTAGTGTTTTTTATAAAGAATGTATTAAGTGGCGTGTGAAATTTCGGTTCTCTTTCACAAATTTTATGGCTAACTCTCGAGTCAATGCATGCTTGAGGTCCAGGTACCAATAACATGCTCCCCGAACATTACTGGCCTAATCTTGCACAAGTACATGGTATACCTATGTCCTACTCGGGATTCAAAAGTAGGTAAAATTATGTGCAAGTGAGAAAGAGGAGATAAGCATCCTGCGTACTGCACTGAATCTGTTGAATACTTTGAATGTAGAGTTTTCATTTTCATGTAACTTTCCGCTTATTCTAATAGGTTCACGTGCTTTACATTCCCTTGAAAATAATAAACAAGAATGTATACTAGCCAAAAAGTCTTCGATTGTTTGTTTTCAGCAGGCCAACATGGTTTTTTCATTATGCTGTAAACTCATTGAAATTTTGAATTATGATTCAGAATTAACATCAGAGACTGAAAATTTTTAGACATATCAACAATGAGGTGATCAATACTAATACAGTCTTGGATCAAATAAAAAACTGAGACCTGTTCTGCCGTGCTAAGGAAGAACGCCGTATGAACCATCAGATCCAAACTGAGATATTTACGTTTAAAGTCTACGGCATGCCTCTCTGCGAGATGGCTGGTCATTATCGCTTCGTTCACACGCAAGAAGTTAATCACTTCCGGGAAAATCGCAAAAGAGAGAGGGTACGTCGGACTCACGACAAACTACCCTTGCAGGCAAGACTCCTTTTACTGTACCAATCCTGCCGTATGTCCACCCTAGCGCCGAGAACGAGCCTCTAACGAGCATTGCCAACTCGTGTTCAAATATCGGGAGGTGATGCCTTCCTTCACGGGATTTCGCCTCTTTTCGCTACTGCGAGGTTCATTTCCGCAGTAATCATTTCTTCTAGTATTTTATTTAACCTTTTGTATTTTTGAGGTAGAGCCATTTTCAAATTTTCAGAGGAAATTGAACAGTAAAAAATAATGATCAGTAATTATTGGAACGGAATTGGAAGATTCATATTTTTCTGTTTTATTTGTAAATCGACGCTGAAACTACCAAACCACGTATCTCGGTTTCCAACGTTACAGACTTCCTGTAACACTTTATTTTATAAATGGAAAACTACGCAATGTTAAATCCTAAAAACTTCCGTGATTTTTCTTCTCTGTGCGAACCAAGTTCTGAGAAAATTTCACGGAATGATGTTGTTTAATTAAACAAATAAAAAAAGGAGCAGCGACACTAAACTCCGCAAACGAGATAAGTAGTTTAGTAGCTTCACCGCATGTATGCTTCTTATTAAATTAAAGGGTATGTCACATTGAAAAGTGGCGATAAAACTCGGAAGTTTTTGGAAAAAATAAATCAATCTCTACAACACTTGAATTTAAAATCAACTTATCACTGTCTACACTACGAGATTTTGGAAAAGAATATGAAATATCACATAGATTAGACAGGGACCAGTTCTAAAGGACCCTGGACTCCCGTAAGAGTCAATGTGAAAATTCGTGAGCAGGTACTAGTGCTGCTATCTCGCGTAGGATCCTCGCAACTCACTGCTGTTATCAGTTGTTAGACTTCATTAAAATCCGTAGGATCGCGTATAACTGCAAAAAATCGAATTTTTCACCGTTCTATTACATGCAGCGAGCCCTTCCTCGTCGAAAGGGGTCGAAAAACGCCAAAAATATACTTATTTTTCAAGTATTCAGCCGCCTTATGTGTTATTTTTAAATCTCCGGCTTAACCTCACTTTTGGAGCGGGCGATGGATGAGTCGAGGTTCGGGGGGAAGGATCCTCTGAGTTGACTAGGATCCTACGCGAGAATGCGCTGCAATCACCCGCTCACAACAGAACGGCGTCCTATGGAACTCGTCCCTGGATTAGATGTGCTGATCGGTGAATGATCGACACAATTCGACAAACCGAGAACTTTCTTAGTTTTCCGAGGTGACGTACAGTTCAAACTAGATGGCACAGAACGTGGCGATTTTTTCCTGATGCTTAAATCTAAGGGCACATCATTGGATCCGTACGCGGAAGTATCGTAATTATTGTCTTTAAAGATCACAGAATTATAATTAAAATCGAGAGTCGCATCCACGATTTTCCCAGTTCGCGAACTAAAACCCGTTTTCGAAAACATTTTGAACAGAAACTATGACGAAACTAAAAAGCGCATCCATTCGTGAACGTATCACATGTTCTCACCGGACGATAAACGGCCTAACTGATCGTAATTAATCAGCGCATGCATAATTGGAACCCTGAAATCGGATAAAAGGGTTGGTAATAGGGGTGGCCAACGGCCGAACCTCGCCGTAAGTCCTGGAATTGGCGAGCGGGGCGCCATCCAATTCCCTCCCCCGATTCCCTCCCAAGACCGATACCCTCATGCGGTCGGAACCGATTTCAAATTCCCTCCCGGCTTTGAAGTAAACTGAAAATATGTGGCAACGTCGCAACAATTGATCAAGTAGTAAGACGAAATAATCAAGATCCAAAATAAACTCACCATTCCCAGATACACCTGATACAGCGCCAATTCTCGTAAGAGTAGAAGAGTAGGTGGTAGTAGGGAGAAAATGGCGACTTGAGGCCAGTAAATTATCCAACAGCGTTGCATGATTGTGCAGAAAAATATGAATTAAATTACAGCGTTGTATAGGGATTATTGTTTAATATGGCAACGCTGTAAAAAGAAAGTATTGCATGTTGCCCCTTCAATATGCGGGTTATGCAATGGTGTAATAATGCCCCTTCATTTTTCGGGTTATGCAATGGTGTATTNTCTCCCTACTGGTGGTAGAGGTTGTAGAAGTTTGAAGTACCTTAAACGGGTGTACAGAGTCCGTCGCGTCGAAAAAAAATAAGACCAAAAAAAAAAAAAAAAATCACAANACCTTAAACGGGTGTACAGAGTCCGTCGCGTCAAAAAAAATAAGACCAAATAAAAAAAAAATCACAAGAAAACATTTGGCGAATTTCTACGAGACACCGTGCGAATGAAGTGGAACAAGGCTTCGTCGTTGTAGTTTTCGAGAAGTTCGGATATGTTTTTTTCGAGAGCAGCAAATTTTTGGCAGTTTTTGATCTGGGTTTTGCCACTGACTGATTTGCGGAATTTATTGAAATTTTGCTGTCGCGGAAAATTCTCTTCAGCACGGCAACGAAACTCGGAAAATCGGGATGAGCTTTGTAATAAAAGGAGTTGTACCGCGCGTGAAAACTCTCACACGAGTTGGTGGTTCGCGCTGGATCAGCTGATCGTTCAGCCCACATTTTTGGGGGGAACTGGGCTCCTTCACCGATGTACGTTTGAAGTAGGTAATTGACGAATTTGGTCACTTGAGGACATTCAGGATGTGCGAACAAGAAAAACTTCACGAATGAGTCACCCACTTTGTCGGGGTGTAATAACGGGAGGCCGAAAATGTGCGGTATCAGGTGTATCTGGGAATGGTGAGTTTATTCTATAAATCTTGATTATTTCGTCTTACTACTTGATCAATTGTTGCGACGTTGCCACATATTTCAATTTACTTCAAAGCCGGGAGGGAATCGGAAATCGGTTCCGGCCGCATGAGGGATTCGGTCTTGGGAGGGAATCGGGGGAGGGAATCGGTTTCGGGAGGGAATCGGGGGAGGGAATTGGATGGCACCCGGCGAGCGCTGCACGGGGCGCGTGCCTTGTGTCCACAAAGCATGGGGAAAAACGCTGTGAGTGCCACCCGCGTCCCGAGTTTCCTGGACACACGGCAGTCGATCGTTGCAATCTCGCCACTATGCGGGACATACGGCAAGCACCGCCCTCTGTATCTCTAGAACTATTAAAGATACGCCTTTTCTGACTTCACCATTGAACAGAGGATGCTTCAAATAGTATGAATTCATGTCTAACTCAAAAAAATTGTTTTTGCTCATACGGCGCACGTTGGGACGATCCCGGAAGAAGTGGGACATTTGACAACTGTGCGGTGAAAATATTCGAATCCGGAAAAATCACAATTTTTCGTTGAAATTGGTTTCTTAAGGTCTACCACACACGAAAAAAATAATTTTTAATCACTTCATGCCTTTTATATTGAAAAACCATGTGTCAAACGCGAGGGTTGAGAAATTCATGTTTGTATTTGTATGTCACTAAATATTTTTCTTTCTAATGATCTCCCAGATAACATCGAACGTTTCAGCAACGTGGAAGTCAACGTAGACCTTGAAACATTCCGGGAACGTTTACAATTTCTACATAGTAATCTACATGGAAGAACAGGGTTGCTCCGAAAAACGTCTCACTGGCGACGTAACAGGAACGTGGAAAGGAACGTTGCTCTGTAAACCTAACCTAAAAAGTTAAAATCGCTCTTTCGCCGTTTCGCTGTCTACGTTTCCGGGACGTATAATTCAACGTAGTCCAAAACACGTTGTACTAGAAAAGGCGGCACAGGCAGGACACAGGCCAGGAGCGCCCACTAGAAGGCGCTGCATTTCGCGGCGCAGATTACTCAAAAAGTCCACAGCGCCTGCGCAGCCCATGTCGGCATCAACCAAGTTCCTGGAATCAGTCTGATCAGCAAAGGTTGCAACTGTTCGAGAGAGTCCACCATTTGTTATCTTGATATAGGCGTACCAAGTGATTTTCGCAGTTTAATGTTGTGCTTGAAGTGATGCTTATACCTCCGTATTTTACATACATAAAAGTTCGTTAATTATCTGGTTTGCACTTACTTGTCTGTTTCTAATTCTATATCTCAAGTCAATGTCCACAATTTTAACCCGTATACCTCATGTCCTACTCTAAAACTGAAAGTGCTTATTCCTCCTCTAGTACGTACACCTAAATGAAAGTCGTGCCTATGAAGTGAATGATAGTATTTTAATTAATCG